TAACAATTGTAAATATTTATGCACCCAATATTGAAGCACCCAAATATATAAGGTAAAAACTAATAAAACAAAAAGGAGAAATAAATAGCAATACAATAAGAGTTGGCAACTTAATATCCCACTGTCAACAAGGGATAGAGCATCCAGACAGAGAATCAACAAAGGAACAGTTAATTTGAACAACATAGATCAATGGACCTAACAGATATATACAGATATTCTATCAAGTGCACATGGAGCATTTTCTAGGATAGATCACAGGTTATCCCACAAAAACATTCTAGCAAATTTAAGAATATTTTCCCTGACCACAATGATATGAAGTAGAAATCAGTAACAGGGGGAAAACTGGAATACTCACAAATACACTGAAAAAAAAAAACAACACTATTAAAACAAACAAACAAAAAAACACCCCCACCATTATGACAACCATTGAATCAACGAAAAAGAGGAGATTAAAAGTATCTTTACACAAATCAAAATGGAAATAGAACATTAAACTTTATAGCACAGCAAAAACAGTTCTAGGAGGCAATTTCACAACAATAAATGCCTACATTAAGAAATGAGAGAAATTGCCTACATTAAGAAATGCCTGGCTGGCTCAGTCAGAAAAGCATGTGACTCTTGATCTTGGGGTTGTGAATTCAAGTACCACATGGGGTGTAGAGATTACTTAAATAAAAAAAAAAACTTAAAAAAATAAAGCCTTTAAAAATGAGAAAATCTCAAATAAGTAACCTAATTCTGTGACCCAAGGAAGTAGAAAAAGAAAAAACTGAGCACTAAGTTAGTAGAAAGAAATAATAAAGGCTAAAATGGAAATAAAGGAAATAAAGAACACACAGATATGTACAAACACACATATAAACAGAAAAGATAAACAAAACCAAGAGTTGATCCTTTGAAAAGATATATAGAATTCACAAAACTTTAGCTAAAATTGACAAAAGAGAGAGGAACCAAATTAACAAAATTATAATGAAAGAAGAGATATTACAACAGATCATACCAAAATGTAAGGATCATAAAATGCTACTCTGAACCATTATGTGCCAATGCACTGTACAGCCTAGAAGAAAGAGAAAAATTCTTAGAACATACAACCTGCAAGATTACCAACTTTGGTAAAACCTACCAAGAAATAGGAAATTGAAACAGACCAATTACTAGTAAGGAGATTGAATCAGCAATTAAAAATCTCTCAATGAGGGGCGCCTGGGTGGCGCAGTCGGTTAAGCGTCCGACTTCGGCCAGGTCACGATCTCGCGGTCCGTGAGTTCGAGCCCCGCGTCAGGCTCTGGGCTGATGGCTCAGAGCCTGGAGCCTGTTTCTGATTCTGTGTCTCCCTCTCTCTCTGCCCCTCCCCCGTTCATGCTCTGTCTCTCTCTGTCCCAAAAATAAATAAACGTTGAAAAAAAAATTAAAAAAAAAAATCTCTCAATGAAGAAAAGCATGGCTTCCCTGGTGAATTTTACCAAACATTTAAAGAATTAGCAGCAATCATTCTCAAATTCTTCCAAAAACTAGAAGAGGAGGGAACGCTCCCAAACTCATTTAATGAGGTCAGCATTACCCTCATACCAAAGCCAGAAAAGAACACTCTAAGAAAACTATCAGAAAATATCTCTGATAAATATACATGCAAAATTTCTTAGTAAAATACTAGCAATCTGAATTCAGCAGCACATTAAATGGATTACTCACTTTCATCAAGTGGGATTTATCTCTGGGATGCAAGAATGACCCAACATATGCAAATTAATAAATATGATATATCACATTAATAGAATGAAAGAAAAAAATCATATAATCACTTTAATAGATGTAAGAAAAGTATTTGATAAAATGCAACATCCATTCATGATAAGGGTACCTGGATGACTTTGTTGGTTAAGCATCTAATTTTTTTTTAATGTATATTTATTTTTGAGAGAGAGAGACAGAGAGTGAGTTGGGGAGGAATAGAGAGAGGGGGAGACATGGAATCCAAAGCAGGCTCCAGGCTCCAAGCTGTCAGCACAGAGCCTGACGTGGGACTCGAACTCATGAACCATGAGATCATGACCTGAGCTGAAGTTGGACACCCAACCAACTGAACCACCCAGGCACCCCAAGCATCCAATTCTTGATCTCAGCTCAGGTCTTGTACTCAGGGTCATGAGTTCAAGCCCTGTGCTGGGCGTTAACCCTACTAAAAAACAAAAAAACACCCAACTCCTTTCATGATAAAAAAAACAAAACAAAAAACTTTTCAAAAATTAGTTATAAAAGGAATGGACCTCAACATACCGAGGCTATAATACAACAAACCCACAGCTAACATCATACTCAATGGTGAAAGGCTAAAAGCTTTTCCTTATTCAACATACTACTGGATGTACTAGCCAGAGCAATCAGGCAAGAAAAATAAATAAAAGGCATCAGAATTGGAAAGGAAGAAATAAAATTGCCTCTATTTGCAGATGACATGATTTTATATGTAGAAAATCCTAAAGATGCTACCAAAAACTGTCATATCTAATCAATATATTCAGTAAAGTCACAGGATACAAAATATAGCATACAAAAATCAGTAGCATTTCCATACACTAACAACAAATTATATGAAAAAGAAATAGATAAAAATTATCTCAATTATAATAGTAAGAACAATCCTATTTATAATACAGAAACAACAAAATACCTAGGAATGAATTTAATTAAGGATGTGAGGGGCGCCTGGGTGGCGCAGTCGGTTAAGCGTCCGACTTCAGCCAGGTCACGATCTCGCAGTCCGTGAGTTCGAGCCCCGCGTCGGGCTCTGGGCTGATGGCTCAGAGCCTGGAGCCTGTTTCCGATTCTGTGTCTCCCTCTCTCTCTGCCCCTCCCCCGTTCATGCTCTGTCTCTCTCTGTCCCAAAAATAAATAAACGTTGAAAAAAAAATTAAAAAAAAAAAGGATGTGAGAGAATACATGACACTAAGGAATACAAGATATCAATGAAAGACACTTTGAAGAAGACACAAATAAATGGAAAGGTATCCCCTGTTCATGGATTATAAGAATCCACGCACATAAAAGAATGAACTAGATCCCTATTGTACAATACTTACAAAAATAACTCAGAATAAATGAACAATTTAGATGCAAGACTGTAAACCATTAAACTTCTAGAAGAATACTTAGAGAAAAAACTCTTTGACATGGGTCTTGACAGTGATTTTTTTTTGTATCTGACATCTAAAGCACAAGCAACAAACTGAAAAGTAAACAAGTGGGACTACATCAAACTAAAAAGCTTCTGCAGAGCAAGAGAAAAAAGTCAACAAAATTAAAAGGCAACCTACAGAATAGGAGAAAATATGTTCAGATCATATATCTGATAAGGGATATTCAATATCCAAAATATATGGAGAACTCATTCAATTCAACAGCAAAATAACACAAACAATCCAATTTAAAATAGGCAAAGGACACAAACAGACATTTTTCCAAAGAAAATATGTGAATGGCCAGCAAATACATGAAATGTTACTCAGCATCACTAATCACCAGGGAAGTGAAACTAAAACCACAATGCGATATTATCTCATGCCTGTTAGAATGGCTATCACCAAAAAGTCAAGAGATAACAAGTGCTGGCAAGGATGTGAAGAAAAAAGAACCCTTGTGCACTATTGTGAGAGTGTAATTTGGTACAGCCACTGTGGAAAATAGTATGGAAGTGCCTCAAAAGATGGAAAATGGAAATATCACATGATCCAGCAATTTTACTACTGGGCATATAGAAAATGAAATCATTATGTCAAAGAGATATTTGCACTTCCATGTTCATTGCAGTGTTATTTACAATAGCCAAAAGTGGAAGCAACCTCAGGGCAGTGTACAATGACAGGTGAATGGATAAAAAAGCTATGGTGGATATGGTATACACACACACACAGACACACATATATGGTGTATATGTAGACTATTGGAATATATATGGAATATATACTGTATATTACATGTGTGTGTATGTGTGTATATATGAAATAATATTCAGTCGCATAAAAGGAGAAAATCTTGCCATTTGCAACAACATGGATGGATCTTGAGGGAAGTATGCTAAGTGGCATAAGTCAGAAGAGAACGACCATACTGTATCATCTCACTTTTATATGTAATCTTAAAAAAAGGAACCCCAAACTCATAGAAATATAGATCAGATTTGTGGTTACAGAGGTAGGGGGTGGGAAGAGAGAGAATTGGATGAAGGTGGTCAAAAGATACAAATTTTCAGTTATAAGACAAATAAATACTGGAGATGCATTCTGAAAGCTTTCAAGAATGTAGACCCTAAGAGTTCTCACCATAAAGAAAAAAACAATTTTTTCTCTTTCTTTTTTCTTTTATATCTATATGAGATGATTGATATTAACTAAATTTATTATGGTAACCATTTTAGAATATATGTAAGTCAAATTAGTATGATATACACCTTAAACTTACACAGTTCTACATGTCGATTATATCTTAATAAAACTGGAAAAAGAGATGCTAAAATAGATCTAAGGTGAATAATAAATTATAAAATAATAATAATAAATCTTAGGTAAACAAATAGCTAACAGCTTTTGAGCACTTATCTGGTTATGTCCTAATGTAGGAGGTTAGACACTTATTTTCATTTCGTGTAAAGAGATTAATAAATAATACAGTGCCAGGGGCGCCTGGGTGGCGCAGTCGGTTAAGCGTCCGACTTCAGCCAGGTCAGGATCTCGCGGTCTGTGAGTTTGAGCCCCGCGTCAGGCTCTGGGCGGATGGCTCGGAGCCTGGAGCCTGTTTCCGATTCTGTGTCTCCCTCTCTCTCTGCCCCTCCCCCGCTCATGCTCTGTCTCTCTCTGTCCCAAAAATAAATAAAAAACGTTGAAAAAAAATTAAAAAAAAATACAGTGCCTGCACAAATATGTTAGATATTATTATGATTATTGACATTATTGTTGTTCATGATTTTAAGAAGTTTGAGAAGGACTTCTCTTCCTATCCTGAGTGCATGGATGTAGTAGTAAGATGCTTTCAGATTACTATTGTGCAAGAACTTGTTTCCTCTACCAACTGCCATCTAGTCAAGAGGTTTCAAAATTGAGCATGCTTCAGAATCACTTGGACGGCATGTCAGAATAGATTGCCAGGCTCCACCCATAAAATTTCTCATTTAGTCAGTTTAGGTCTAGGAGAGGGCCCCCAAATTTTCATTTCTAACAATTCCCCAGATGATGCTGATGCTGCCAGTCCCTGACCACATTTTAAAAAATAACTGTTTTATTGAGATATAAGACAAACAGCCTAAAATTCACCCTTTAAAGTGTACTATTCTGTGGTTTTCACTATATTTACAGTTGTGCAACCATCATCACTCCAGAACATAGTGCACAATTTTCTTAAATTTTCAATCTATATTTTTTGAATGAGTATATGTTCAGCTCAAAAATCAAAATAATATAGGGGCACCTGAATGGCTCAGTCGGTTGAGTGTCCAACTTTCAGCTCAGGTCATGATCTCATGGTTCATGTGTTTGAGCTCTGCATCGGGCTCACTACTGTCAGTGCAGGGCCCACTTCAGATCTTCTGGCGCCCCACCCCCCACCCCCCACCCCTTCCCTGCTTGTGCTCTCTCTCTCAAAAATAAATAAATCTAAAAAAATCAAAATGCATAAGTGTTATTCTTTTCATGCCAATTACCTGGTTTCTCTCCTCTCTACAGAATAAAACTCCGTATCAAGTTCATTTTTTTCTTCTATATTTCTAGTATTTCTTCATGCAGACACAAGCAACACAAATATATGTCTTTCTCTGCTTTCATACACTAAAAAGGCAACTCACTATGAACCCTAGTCTGTCCATTGCTTTTTTTCATTGAATATATCCTAGAGATCATTGTGAAGGTATACCATGGTTTATTTAACAGTCTACTTTATGTAAATGAGTATGTCAGTTATTTCTAGTCTTTTGCTATTGCAAATAATGCTGCAGTAGATATCCTTCTATACTTATCAGTTCATGTAGGTGCAGGTATATCTGTAGAAATAATTCCCAGCAGTGAGATTACTAGCTTAAAGGATAAATGCACTTGTAATTTTGAAAAAATATTACCAAATTCCCTTTGACAGGGATGCCATGATTTTGTACTTCCACTAGCAATTTATGAGAATGCCTTTACCCTAATGTGTTTTGTCAAGTATTTAGATTTCAGCCAATGTTTTAGGTGTGTGGTTTTAATTTGCATTTCTCACTACTGAGGTGCCACGTTTTTCATAGGTACAAAGGCCATTTGTGTCCCTTTTTCAGTGAACACTTTAAGTCTTTTGCCCATGTTCTATTGGGTTGTTGGTAATTTTTTCCTGACTTCAAGGGAGATTTATACTTTAGGGGAGTAATTTTTTTATATGCGAGGAGTACCAAATAGTCTTCCTATTGTGTCATTTGTCTTTTACTAGCTTGTAGTTTTTGCCATGCATAAGTTAAGGCTTTTATGCAGTTGAATTTATCAATATTTTATATTATGAGTAGTGAATTTTGAGTCATAGTTAGAACCCCCCCAAAAAAAAATTATAAATGAATTTTGATCAGGTTTATTCTAATACATTTACAGTTTCATTTTTGCACATTCAAATCTTGTCTTCACTTGCAGCCCACTGCACTCTTAACTACTAGGCTAGAAAAAGATATAGACTAGACTAGTGGATTTCAAACATTCTTTCCCCAAATTTATTATTTTTTAAGTGAAATCTCACCCTATTTTTAAAACAGAGGAAAGAAGACCTCCCCTGGTGATATAGGAGAGATCCTGTTGTGACTCTTACCCTCAACAGACTCCATGTTCCTTTCATGGAATCCTTAGGATCCTTGTAAGCAGAGTGAAAACCACAGATATCTGCAAAACAAGAACTAGGGCAAAAATTTTGATGAGAAGAGTTAATAGAAAATTTTTCCCACTTGTTTTTATGTTTTGGCATTGAATATTTGTTGATAAGACAGGACTGGGTAGGAATCAAAAATCCATTCTAACACAGGCTTATCTTTCTTATGGGTAATTCACTTTTGCTGAGTCTCTGTTCAACTGAAAATTCCTCATAATTATACTATGTTATGAATGATATAGTGTAGAAAATATGAACCTTGGTTTCACAACAGTTCTAATCCTAAACACTTTGTAGCTGTGAGACCTCAGACAAATTATTAGAAATAATTATTTCATAATTATTAGTTCATCACAGCAAATATTTATTTGAGTGCTTTGTACATGGAAGACATTGTGCTAAGTGCTGGGGATATGAATGTGAAGAAGAAAGAAATGTTACTACTTTACGGTTCAGAGGTGGAGCCAGATGATAATTATAATAATTGTTTAAATTATGCTTATTAGAACATCTTCAAAGTATCATAGGATATGTAAAAATGAACAGGGGGTTTTAGCTTTGGGAGTTCAAAGAAACTAAGATCAGATTCAGGGTTTTTTGTTTGTTTCTTTTTTTTTGGTTTTTGGTTTTTGAAAATCTCAACTTAAAATTTTATTTTTAAACATATTAATAGTAAGGAATAATATTATAAACCTCCTTGTATCCATCTGTCAGCATGAACAATTTTTAATAGCTGTGTATGAAGTGACATGGCAGAAGGAGGCCAAAGCCTTTCAGGCAAATGGAGTAGCAAATCCATATACCCTGAGGCCTCAGAGTACATTTGGCAACTGAAAGGAAGACTAATATGGACAGCATAGACATCATTAGAATGTTTACATGGAGAATGGATTCTATGTATGTGGTAGATGAGGGCAAGAGTAGATGAGGAAGTACTGATTAGAAGCTACTGGGTAGTTTGGGCAAAAGAAATTATGACCTGGAATATGGCAGTGGCAGCCGAGAATGAGTGGTTAGATGAGATATTTACAAATGGAAAGTGGGACAGGCAGGACTGGGATAAGGGACACAAAAGTGTTCACGAAAATCCCAGGTTTCAGCATGAGCTATTGGGTGGATGTTAGTGCCACTACTGAGATGGAGAATTATCTTATTAGGGGAGGAGAAAAATTTAGGTTGAAGAGTTTCTCAGACATTCAAGTGGCGATTACAGACAGGTAGTATAATGAGGCTATTGCTGAGTGGCATAGAGAAGTCTGGTGGAGATATATAATAAAGATCCAAAGGATAGACACGATAAATGGTCAAACTGTGTCAGAAGGCCTAATTGAGGCAATAATGGCAAATGAATAGGGAAAATGGATAAACTGCAAAGCAATGTATTCTTAAAAAGGCAAAAAAAAAAAAAAAAAAAAAAAAGTGCTTCTTTGAAGCAGAAGACCAAACTCCGCTTCCACTATACTTATGAGGGTACAATGAAGAGTCCTTTTCTCTTTCCCTAGCTGATACTTTGTCAACTTACTGAAATCATTGTTTTAGTTTTTGCTACAACAGACGCTTTTATTTTGGAACATTCCTACCTGGTTAGACTTTGTGATCTAATTGGGTTTCTACTCAGTCCTGGCTCCCCTTCCCATTGTATTGCGTTTTAAATTTACTTCTCAAAGTGATGAGACACTTAAGTATACTCACTTGTGGGATCTAAGAAATGGCGGTTGCCTGTCGCTCTCAAGGTGAATTATAGGACCAACACCAACAATATTGATGTCTTCCATGCAAAAAGGTGGTTTTATTAAAGCACGGGGACAGAACCAGTGAGCAGAAAGAGCTGCACTGGGGTTGTGAGGAGGAGGAGTGGCTGATTATATAATTTCAAGTTAGCAGGGGGCTAGGGATAGTTTAAGTCTCTAAGGAATTTGGAAACAAGGTTTCCAGGACCTTAAGGGGCTACCTGTTGTTAGGAAAAGATCACTTACTAACTATCTAATAAAACCTTAGTCATGAGACCCTTCAGATACGCATCAGTGGGCCATATGCTTGGAGGATGATTGCTAGCATGTGTCTTGGGGAGATAGAAAAAAGGAAGTTTCCAAAGGGAGTTTCATATGTTAACCAAAACTTACAGGATCCTGGAGGTCTGGCTAATGACAAGCTAAGGTTGCCTTTTGCCTCTAACAAAGAATTGACATAGAGGCAGCCAAGCTCCTTGAGGAAGGTCACTCTGCTTGTCTCAAGTATTTGTCAATGGGCTGTAAATTTAAGGAATTTTTTTCCCCCTATATTTCTTTTACCTTCGTTCTCCACATCAAATATCATCTGGGAACTTGTCAGAAACACACGTTCTCTGGCACCACCCTAGACCTACAGAATCTGAAATCCAGTCATGCCTCGTTACAATAAATCTTGGCGATTTTAATGTCTCCTATATTTGAGAATTTCTGCTCAGGATACCTAACCTATCCCTGGCCCCGCCCCAATACGTAGGGAAAGAACACTCCTTTCTTGGGAGTTAGGCAGCTAGAACCATTCCTTAAGTATTGATTATTTAATTTGTAGCGTACTGCGAGTTTTCATGTAAGGTCAGTTGTTGCTTGACAAAACAGACCACATATGAGCTTCTTTTGAAAAAACACTTGGCGGCTGACCCCGCGAGAGGCACCCGCATAGCAGCTCCCAACCAGGAACTCAAGGACAGCACTGTAGCCTGTCCAGAGTTCGCTCTGCACAACCTCTACCCCAACAAGGAAAGTGCGATAAACGGCGCTAACCCCTTCCCTTTCAGAGCTGGTGGGTCACCGACTACCCACGTTCACAGCCCAGCTTTATTAAACCCATTTGTGCCCAGAAAGCAAGGAGTGGCGGAGAAGCCCCGCCCCACCGCCGACAGCGCTCCAATCCCAACGCGCGCGTGGCGCGTGGCGCGCAGCGCGGGGAGGGCCTTGTGTCCGGAAAAGCCCCGCCCCTCGCCCGAGCACCCGCCAATTGTAGCGCACAGTGCGGGGCGCGGAGCGAGTTCCGTGGCGCGCTGCTTTCCGGCACCTTGAGGAGACAGCCAGCCTTTGCGAAGGCTCCGCGCGGGAGGTGGCTGAGCGTCTAGAGATGCCTGGCGGCGGTACCTCGTGTACCCGGAAGGTAAGTTGTAGACTGGGAACCAGTGCCACGCCAGGCCTGTTCTCTCTGCTTTGTCTTCAGCGGTCTCCCGGTAGCCCTCCAGCGCCAGTGTGTCCTACCCCCTCCAGTTCCCCATCGGCCAGGCCGGCGGGGCGCAGGGAGCGCTTGGGCTGGCCAGAGGCTATGAGGGGTGAGAGGCAGGCGCTGTGCTGGCTGGTGATCTCTGGCGAGGCTGCGGCTGGTTCTGTCGGTGAGCGTGGATGGAGCCTGCCTCGCAGTGTGCCTCTCCTGAGGTCGGTCTCGCCCAGGTGTGCGGAAGCAGCCCCCCGCCGGCCGTCTGGCGTCTCGCCTTCCCGGTGAGATGCAGAGGGCAGGGGGAACCGCTGGAGGTGCGGAGCGGAGAGGTCGCAGCTGGCGAGGTCGCAGCTGGCGAGGTCGCAGCTGGCGAGGTGACGGAAGTGAGCGACCGGAGTTGAATCTGGAACTAGCGTGTGAGCTGTATTTACCCTCGCTAGCGTTTGGCATTGTTTGTCTCTTCTTGACTGTCGTAGAACACAGCGGTGGATGTTGGAATGGATGTGCCATCCGCCCCGGGGCGCCGGCGCGCCGTGGTGTGTGGTGCCACACTTTTCCTTTCTATCCCAAACTGTTTCTGAATCTTTCTATTCCTGCCTCGGTGGGAGAGGAGTCCGAAGCCAACCGCTGCCAAACTGTGTATACCAAATTATACCACAGTATCTGGGCACAGAGTGCGTGTGTAGGAATATTACATTAATGATATGTAAATGATTGTACTTGCATTTGTGAGTACATCTTTTCCTTCCGAAAATTGTGTTTGCCGTGGCCTTTTTAAAGCTGTTTCTGGCGCGCCTCGGGGACTCAGTCCGTTAATCATCCGACTTTGCCTCAGGTCGTGATCTCACGGTTGGCGGGTTCGAGCCCCGCATCGGGCTCTGTGCCGACAGCTGGGAGCCGGGATCCTGCTTCACATTCTGCGTCTCCCTCTCTGCACCTCCCCCACTTGTGTTCTGTCTCTCTCTGTCTCAAAAATAAATTGAAATATTAAAAAAAAAATTTAAAAAAGCTGTTTCTAAGTTCCTTGCTTACAAACATGCTTGTCTCATCATACTAAAATTTAAAAAAGCAAACACAGGGCCTCCTTTTTTGACTTTTTCCTTTTACCAAAAACTTCTTGGCAAAAAAGAGTCCACATATACTGGTTCAGCTTATCATTGTTATGTTTCTTTGCTTCTGGAAAGCAGAGAAAGCTTGTCAGTCTCAATTTTGTAACTGTGTGGAGTAAAAGAAACCTATGTCAAACATACCTATTGATTATGAGACATCCTGATTCCAGATGTAGTCAAATGTAAAAAAAAAAATCAAGGAAATATATGAATTTGTTAAATCATGGTCACTCTAGCATTTGACACATTTATCACGTGCTTTTATTGATTGGGGGGGGGGGGCGGGGGGAGGAGCATCCCTGTCTGTTGCTTATCCTGATTCCCTCCCTGTCTGGCATCTGCTCGTTTACTTCTCTTTACTCTGTTCCTGCCATGTTCTAAGTTTTGATCTTGTGCTTTTTCTTACTTTACACATTTATTCTTGGCAAGCTCATACTTTGACGTTAGCTGTCACAGCTATATAGCTAACTTTCAGATGTGTATTTGACCTTTTCCTTGAGCTCCGTTTAAACTCAGTGCATCATGAAATTATCAATTTCTTACCCTTAATCCACTAAGCCCTGACAGTTTCTCCTGCAAGTTGTTGGTCTCAGTCTATTGACAGTGATGCTTGACTAGGAATGCCCGAGGCACTTGCCTGGGCCCCTGGGTTACTTGTACTGAGCTGTTTTCCCTGACCAGGGCCAATGTTGTGGCTGGACCAGACCTTGTGGTTATTGTTATGATTGCAGGATGCACTTCAGCAACAAACATCAGGGACGTTTGAGGAGCAAGATTTACAACTCCCAGGTCCTGGAGGGTACATTGCACACCCACGTGCTACCCAGTGAGGTGGAGGGGGGCTGGGGGAAGAGGAGAGCAAGAAAACCTGAGGTCTGAGGGTGGGGTGTCTAGGGTTTTGGAGGTTCATTCTTTATTGGCTAATTTAAAGCCTAAGGGTGGGAATTAGAGCACCAGAAGGGAGAAGTGAAGTCACTCAGATAGTCAGTTATGTAGGTTACCGAGGGTTTTCTGAAAGAGGGACCTTCATGGGTAGGGGCAGCTTAATTCCTGATCTTGTTGGTTTGTGTCATATAACTGGTGCTATGTTTGTTCAAGATGGATGTCTTCTGAAATGGATGCCTTGGCAGCCAAAAATTAATGTCAGGCATTCACAGTACATCCTTAGAAATCCTAGTGTTTGACTTGAGACTCAGTTCTGCCCTCTGATTCTATTAGTTTTCAAGAACTTACCAGTTTTTCTTGTCAATAATTATATTAGTGATCTATTGCTGTTTAACAGATTGTCTCAAAACTGAAGCAGCTTAAAATAAGTGCTTGTTTTTTCATATAGTTTCTGAAGGTCAGAAATCTGGGAATGGCTCAACTGGCTGGGTCCAGCTTAGTGTCTTCTACAAGGTACAGTCAAATAAAGGGTCCCAGAGCCTGGGGATCCACTTCCAGACTCACCCATGTGTTTGTTGGCGAGTGTCAGTTCCTTGCCACTTTTGTAGGGCAGTTCTCACAACATGGCAACTGGCTTTCCGAAGAGAAAGAGACAGGGAGGGGCTAAGCCCTGGTGTCTTTTATAACAAGTCTCAAAAGTGACTTCCCACCTCTTCTGTCCTATTCTTTTTGTCACATAGATCAACCATGTACAGTGTGAGAGGGGCCACAGAGGATGTGAATGCCAAGAGGTAGGAATGATAGGAAGTGATCCTGGAGGCTAGCTCCCCCAATACTTTTTTCCTTTTTCCTTTTCTTTTCTGTCACCCTAGGTCAGGCCCAAAGTACTTTGTGTTTGGAGTTTTTTTGTGGTACCAGCCATGTGGCTTCTGTTCCATCTTCAGAGATGACTTTCCCTTAGACACCACTTTAATTAATATTGTTGTTCCTCTGCTTAAGCATTTCACTTCTTATTGTCTACATAATCAATTATTTTGGACCTAACTTGTGCTAAAAGCCTTATAGATGTATTAATTCATTTATAGATGATTCTCTCTCTCTCTTTTTTTTAAGTAGGCTCCACACCCAGCACAGAGCTTGAACTCATGATTCTGAGATCAAGACCTGAACTGAGATCAAGAGTCAGACACTTAACCAACTAAGCCATCCAGGTGCCCCTACAGATGGCTCTTTTTTTTTTTTTAAAACTCATTTAATTCAGCAATCCTATTAGGTACTATTATTAGTCTCATTTTATGGACAAGAAAATTGAGGCACAGTAGAGAGGTTAACTAATTTTTCCAAAGTCACACAGCAGTTAAGTGAAGAAACCAGGATTTGCACTCATGTAGTCACTTCCAGACCTTGCTTTTTTTGTTTAGGCTCTTATAGCCTTTTATTCACAGCTTCCATAATGTGGCCATACCTTATTCCTTAACTTTATAACTTCGTTCATTATTTATCCTTTAGGTAAGTAAATGGCTGTTTTCATTTGCCTCTTGGTATTTGCTCATGTTCTTAGTTTGGAGTAATGCCATTTCTTCCATTTTTGCTTACTGGAATCTTAATTATCTGTCAAGTACCATCTCAAATCATCTATCTATAATCATCTATTATCTCTAATCATCCCAGTTGTAAATGAACTTTATTTTGTATTCCTGTGGAACTTTGTATTATTCTTAATAGCTTCATGTCTTATATTACTAGGTTTACTTGTACTTATCCTTATGATGTAGACATTTTAAGATTATGTTCACCCCATGTGCCCCAGAGCACCTGCCATAATACCTTGTACATATTAGGTACCTAATAAGTATCTGATGAAGGAATGAAAATGGTACTAGTTTAAAAGATTTGCAAGTATTCTAGATCTGAAGAAACATAAGGAAATACCTTATTCAGAAGACATGAGTACTAGCCTCAGCTCTGCAACTGAGTAATTTTGTAATTTTGGACAAGCCATATAGATCTTTCTGGACTCTTAAGATGAAAGCTGATATGGTCATGGACTAAAGTGGTAGAGTTGGGAATGGTATTAGGAGAGGACTGAGTTGATTAATTATAAAAAGAAGATGAGATTTATGCACCTGACATTGAAAGATGAAAAGAGGAGAATCAGTGGTGACTCAGAAATTGAACTTCTGAAAAACGGAAAAGTTGAGGGGAATTAACTAATTAGTTGCTTCTTACCTGATGTTAGGATATACAGATAGGTGAAAATTCAGCCCAAGGGAGAGATTGGGCTGTTGGAGAGCAGGGAGTTGCTTCAAAGACTGGCACTATTTTAGTTCTTTTCTTCCTCTTGCCTTAGGCCCCTCACTTCAAGTTCTTTTTTCTTTTATCCTTTGTTTCCTTTCCTTGCTAAATAGCCACGAATGACTGGCTAATACTCCCCTTTCCTAGTTGCTTAGCTTTTGAGATTTCCCGATACACCCCCTCACTCCTTTTGCCTCCCCAGACTGAATTATAGCTCTCCTCCCTGAATCGTAGACCTCTTTTCCCACTGAAGGAAAAACCATGTCGGCAACATCCTAAAAAAGAGAAAAGGAGAATTACATCTTCCTGATGGCACCTTCCTTCCCTAATCCTTTGCGTTATCATCACAAAAACTTAATTTCTGGTGCTTCTTGCATAATGACGTGGGCATGATGATAGATATTAACTAAATATAATGTATATGTCAGTTTGAACTGAAGAGTACACAAGGCTCCATTTCAGGTGAAAGTGTTTCTCAAGAAAGGGAGACATTTGCTTCTTTGAAGCCAGAGGGATGGAGCCTGTGGAGAAAGTAAGGACCCTTTACTACAGAGATTGGATTCTGTTACAGAAGGTTAGTATGGAGAACAGGAACATGTTTCCTCTGAGACCATAGGGAAGGAGAGGTCAATAGATGGGAGGTTGGCTGATTTTTACAATGGCAGACTTTAACCTTGGGGAAGATATGATGGCTTGAGCTATGACAGTGACATGGAGAGGTAAAGGGAAGAGTGAGTATGGAATTCATGAATGTATGTGATTGTGTGTATGTGTGTACAGAAGAATGTGTGTAAGCAGAGGACTAGGGAATGATTAAGAGTATTTACCAGCAATGGCCAAGGACATGTAATAAGAAAATAGGAAGTTCTCATTTGTGGGTCTTTTTATGATAGCCCTGTGGATTGCTGATTGGTAAAGTGAGTTGGTGGAAGGAAAGGAATTTTAATGCTTGAAAGGCAACATTGGAGTCGTTGGGCATAGAGTGCAGACATTATGATAAAATGAATGGACTTGAGACTTAAAGTCTCAGTGAATTCCCAGATATTCAGAGTATTCCCAGATTCACAGATACTCAGTCAGAAACAAGGCCAGGGTACCTTCTTTGTGTGGAAGGTGCACATGATAGTTATTGTCAGGCACTTTTGTTAAAATAAGACCATGCAGAGTTAGTGGCTAGAATATATTTCCTAGCATGAGGAAATACATGAGGAAAATCTTGACATGGTGCCCTTGACTATCTCTCTGACTAGGGCAATATACCTAACATTTCTAAGTTGTAGTTTGTCTATAAAATGGGGATAATACCTATATCTTCCAGCATTAGCATGGATACTAAATGATGAGAATGCATGAAATGATGTACTGAACGTAAAAGCACTCAATTAATGTTAGTGGTGATGAAAGCAGTTAATAATAAAACCATGATCATGAAAAGATTTTTTTATATGACGGCAAATCTATTGTATGTGCTCTACTACTTTGCCTCTAGATTTCCCTGGAATTACTCTTAGCTTGCTGAAGAAGGACTGGAAAGAGGGCTTTGTTTTAAAGTTGTTCAGTCATGGTGAGAGATTCTCTCATAGTTATCTTGGTAGGAATACCTTACGGTTCCAATTTTAGCCCTTGATAATCTCATCAGATGGCTTACTGGTGGCTCTACTCAGAATCAGGCTACTTAGTATTGACATCTTAGTCTGTCTACATTGTCTTGTTCTTCAAATGGAAGGGAAAGAGAGCTAACATTATCAAAGATGTTCTATATGTCAGGTACTTCACACATATACCTTATTTAAGGGAGAAGATATTCTTTCTTTTTAATCAATAATATATGCTTACAAATAAGATAAAATAGTACAAAATAGTTTCTCATGAAAACCAGCAATCACTGCCCTGTTCTTTCCTGTACTTAATTCTGTGCCTGAGAGGCATTTTTTTTTTAAATTGAGATAACTGTAGATTTATATTAAGTTCTAAGGAATAATAGAGATATTATGTATCCTTTACCCAGTTTGCTCCAGTAGTAACATTTTGCAAAACTGTAGTACAATATCCCACCAATATTTTGACATTAATACAATCTAATTATCTTATTCAGATTTCCCTGGAGGTATGTATATTTACGTTGGTACATTTTTACACATGTATAGATTTATGTGCCACCACCACTAGAGATACTGAACATTCTGTTAGCTCAAGAATCCCTTTGATAATCCATCATACCTACTCGCTTCCCACTGCTAACCCCTGGCAGTTGCTAATCTGTTCACCATTTTAAACATTGCATCATTTCAAAAGTGTTACAGAGATGAAACCATGCAGTTTATAATATTTTGGGATCATTTTCTTTTTCTTTTTTTCTTTTTACTCAGCATAATACTCTGGAGATTAGTACTAGTTGTTTTGTGTATTAGTAGTGTTCATTTTTATTGCTGAGTAGTATTCCATGGAATGCACGTACTACAGTTTGGCTCAACATTTTACTTGTTGAAGGACATCTGGGCTATTTCCAGTTTTGGTTATTATGAATAAAGCTGCTGTGCACACTTATGTGCAGATTTTTGTTTGAACATAGCTTTTCTTTTTCTAAGATAAATACCTAAGAATGTAACTGCTGGGTCATATGGTAATTGGATGTTTAGTTTTCTTTTTTTCTTTTTTTAAGATTTTATTCTTAAGTAATCTCCACACCCAACGTGGGGCCCAAACTTGCAACCCAGAGATCAAGAGTCACATGCCCTGTCAACTGAGCCAGCCAGGCTCCCCTGGATTTTCACCTATCTGTATATCCTAACAGTTTTATAGTAAACTGTTTCTCATAGTGACTGTACAGTATTACAGTCACACTGGCAATGTATGAATGATTCAGTTTCATAGATAATAAATTTATCCTTTTAAAGTATAAGGTTCACTGATTTTTAGTGTATTCACAGAGTTGGGCAAATATTTCTAACTATAGAACATTTTCATCACCCTGAAAAGAAACCCCATGGCAACCAAAAGCTATTTTCTGTCTTCATGGATTTGCCTACTGTATATATTTCATATAAATGGAATAATATGTGGTCTTTATGACTGGCTTCTTTCACTTAGCATAATGTTTTCAAGGTTCACCCATTGTTATTGCATGTATCAATACTTTATTTTTCTTTGAAGGTAAAATAATTTTCTATTGTATGGATATATCACCTTAAAAAAATCCATTAGTAGATGGAAATTTGGGTTATTTCCACTGTTTGGCTATTAAGAATACTACTATGATCCTTTGCGTACCAATTTTTGGATAGACATAAGTTTTCATTTCTCTTAGATATAAACCTACTATTATAATTGCTAGGTCATATGGTAATTCTATGATTAAATTTTAGGGAACTGCTAAGCTTTGTTGCAAAGAGTTTGCATCATTTTATAGTCTCACCAGCAAGGAATGAACATTCTAATTTCTCCATATCCTTGTTAACACTTGTCATTGCCTATCTCTTGATTTTAGCCATCTTAATGGGTAAAATTGTTTTGGTTTTGGTTTACATTTCCATAATGACTAATGATTTTGAATGCCTTTTCAAGTGCTTCTTGGCCATTTTTATGTCTTGAAGAAATATCTATTCAAGCTATTTGCCCATGTTTTAGTTGGATTATTTATCTTTTTACTGTTGTTAGTGTTCTTTATAAGTTCTTATACCACTCCTATATGAGATATATGATTTGCAAATATTTTCTCCCATTCTGTGCACTTTCTGTTTTCTTGATGGTATCATTTGAAGCACAAGTGTTTAAAAATTTTGAAGTCCACAATCTATCTTTACTTTTGTTGCTTATGCTTTTGGTGTCATATCTAGGAAATCATTACCTAACCCAA